ATAATTTCAATTTCCATGATCTAACGTGGCTCTGATACCAATTTTACCGGAGTGCGCAGAATCAGCGGAATAAATTTTACACTTATAATTTTTTAGGGTCTAATTTGGAGTTTTTATATTCTTATAATGGCTCCTAGTTGCAAATTATATGTAAAGGGTATTTTAGGAAATTAATTATCCTGTAACTATTCTGTAAGTAAATAGTTCTGATAAAGTAGCATTGTCCTTATTTGTTTACTTTTATGTCTCAATTCCACACTTACCCTCACCCAAATGAGAATCGACCCAAGTCAATGACACGTTAAAGCTTTGTTTTTATCACTTGAACTAAGTCTTGGTCTTGACTGTATTCCTATTTATCACATACAATTGAAGATATAAGTTATAGGAAAATTTTTATATGAGTTTACTTAAAACGGTAAAAAGTTTACTTGTAAGTAAAAATACTATTTATAGTTCAAAATTTTAATTATAAGTTAAAAAGTCATTTATATGTAAAATTTATTATAAGTAAAAAATATTATATTTAACTTATAAAATTACCTATAAGTAAAGAATTACTTATAATTAGACATTTAATAGAAGTAGAAACACCACTTATATAACACTTTTGTATATGTAAAAGAAATTGCTTATAAGTAAAAAACACTACAAAAAAAGTCGAAAAAAATTGGGACGGTTGCTGCAACTACCCATCATTTTATTTAGGTCATGTTTGAGCCACATTAATTTTTTCATTTTCATTCTTCCACTTATTCTCAACCACACATTTTTTAATAAAATAATAATTTTCATCAAATCAATAATTTTTCCTTCTTTTTTAATCACATATTTTTCATCACATCAATAATAAAAATACATTATTTTTCGAGAAATGTGCACAAACCAAAAGGGGCTTAGAAAAAGTAACTTACGAAACAAAAAAGAATGATTTTTTACATAAAATAAAGCTGAGCCTACAGATTGGCGAATCATAGAGTTATTGGGAAGTGAGACAGCAGCAATTCAAGGAACCCAAAACGAAAACAGACAAACAAAGCTGACGGTGACACACTTTCTGTTACTCCGTAAATCTCATCAGCCGAATTTTAAGTTTAATTTTCAATTGGGTTCTGTAATTCAGAATTCAACATAAAAAAGTAGAAATCAATCCAATCTTTAGCGGATAATTATGTACAGATTACAATCTTGCAAGCAGTTGAAAAATAAGGGCGCTCGGTATGCTCTTTTTAATTGTGTCATCTCTTGTGATCGATCGAGGTACCAATTCTATGCCCCTTTTCTTTCTTAATTGTCACTGTATTTTTTATTTATGCTTTCAAGTGATAATAAAGAGTGAAATTTTTTTGGGTTCTTGTCAATTTGAAGAAATGGTTTTTTTTTTTCATAAGCACAGATTTAATTTTGAGATGCATAATAAGAATTGAGGAACTGTAGGGAGAATTCTATGGCACTAGACATGGAAAGAAAATTCTCGTCCACTTCATTATAGAGTTCTATCCAATACTGTGTACAAAACATGGACTAATGGAACTGATTTATGTGAATTCTGATTTTTCAGAATGTCATCAACCTCGTTTTTGGACTATTACAAACCGGGACTCTTGTAGTGGAATTTGGATAGTTATTATTCCAAAGATTTTATTGTCCCCTGCACGAAAAAGAAAAATTGCAGGTGGATACTGTGGATCACGACACTTTTTTAAGTGTACGGATGTTTGTTCTAAAGAGTTTTATTTGTCTTCAACTGAAGTGATGATTTGAAACAAGTGAAATAAATGCAAATATTTGCATTTTCCTCTATTTCAGCTTAAAACATATTGATTTCTCTTGGTGTGGTGGCATATGCTTCATTTGATCAAATATGTATAACTAGTGTGGGAATAATTCTGCTAGAGAGGGGTGAAGAAAGGGAGGGGATGACAAAAGTTAATTTAGTGTAATGTGGTTGTAAAAAATATGATTGTTCTGGATCTTTTTGTGGATGTGGCGATAGTTCAACTGGATCGAGGGAAAAGGACTAATGTAAATTTTTGGGGAAATTAGGCTGTCGTCGGTGTGTTGTTCACATCATGCCACACTTTGCAGTACTGTCACTCTCGTTTTTTTCCCCTAGTTACGTTGCTAATTGTAACTGTAAATGACTTCTTATATATTATATACAATGCAGACCCGTCCATTCCCTACCATTTGCCACGGTGAAAACTGAGAAACTATCAGGTTCTCAACCAGCTGAAGTACAAAATTTGGGTATGTGATATGATTGTAGCAGCTAGTCTCATTTATTTGCAAAAATGATTCGGTTAATAATACAAGGAAATTATTTGTTATCATTGTCTACTATATACGAGTTACATGTAGTTTCTATTGACAAATGAGTTAAATGGTGCTATAAGTTATGTGTTGCTAACACTTTTGACGCGATGAACTGATGTGGACTGCTAGAATTTGAGCAAGTATTTTGCATTATATGTGACACTCGAACAATCAATGGTGTGAATGAAATGGTTGTTGTCTATTACAGTGCAGGGAAAATGGATGAGGTCTTCTAATTGGAATACAATTGTGGATCCTTTAAATGGGGAACCATTCATCAAAGTGGCAGAAGTAGATGAAACAGGGTTACAGGTACACCACATAAGCACATCATAAAGTGATTGCTTTGAATTTCCATAAAACAAACCTTTTTTTCGAGCGTGTAGATATATAATGCTTGTTTGGTATTACTTTAAAGTGCTTATAAGCTTTGCATTCTACGAAATGTGTAGACAATAAATGGGTAAAAGTAGCTAAATGTTGTGGGTTTTATGGAATTTGTGAATAAAAATAGAGTTTGATCAACTTAAAAGCAATTGTAAACTTTATCAGACATGTAATATTTGGTTGATTGTGGCCTCCAGACAATTGGAGCCTGTCATACTTATGTTTATCCCTTCTTCCCAAAATCTCTTAATTATAGAAGTTCCTTTTTTTGGAAAAGTCTTTTACGCTTCATAACTCGTGCAGCCATTTGTAGAGAGCTTGTCGAAGTGCCCTAAACATGGTTTACATAATCCATTCAAAGCACCAGAGAGGTTTGTCTAGTTTTATTTCTTTTTCTGTGACACAGTACTTATTTTTTTTCTCTCTTCAATTAAATCTATGGATTATTATACTACTATATCTTTTCTTAATAACTCTAGTCAAGGAACTAAGATCGATTTTTCGAAAAAGTACCAACACGACAAGTTGTTGATATGTCGATTAAATTCATTAAAATTCTTCATTTGTATAGTATAAACTTAGTTTTTATACTTGTTATTAATTTTTCTTGTCAAAATCTTTTAAATATTAGTACCTATTTATTGTTTAATAATAACTTTGAATTAAAAATATATAATTATTTTTATAAAGAAAAAAATGACCAGTGTCCAAAAAGTGTCGGTATCCAACACGTGTCCGACATGGACACGCCATCCTAATTGAAGTGCATGTGCTACATAGTATATAATATAATGTTTTTTAAGTCTTGATGTTATATTCCTGAAAATTGGTATAACTTCTGAAAGACCAATGTTTCTCAGGTACCTCATGTTTGGAGACATATCAGCTAAGGCAGCTTACCAGCTTTCTCTGCCTGAGGTGAAATACTTAAATATCCTGGATAATTAAACACTTGAAAAAAAAAGTTATATGTCAAACTCTCACTTCAATAGTTACATTTCTAGGTTTCAGATTTTTTTTCGAAGTTGATACAAAGAGTGGCTCCAAAGAGTTACCAGCAGGCTCTTGGAGAAGTTTATGTCACTCAGAAATTTCTCGAAAATTTCTGTGGTGATCAGGTACGTGACATTTGGCCTGTTTAATGCTTGGTTTTTATTCAACCTACGGAGAACAGAACAGTCTCATTAACTACGGCGTCTGCAATTTAATTGCTTTTGACTGAAGTATGTTACTGGTTTAGTCAGAGACTTAAATAACTGGCAACATATGATTACTCTTCTCTGTTTCAATTTCCTTCTCTGCTCTCAATTGATCTTTTCATTCAATAATGCTACAACTTCTACAAGATCAGACATAATCTCATCTCAAATGGGTTTAGCTGGGAAGTCTCTTTTGATTAATTTTCGTAAATAATCCTATCTCATTTTAGATTTCAAATATTTCATTGACTTGACTTTGAATTCCTCTGGCAGGTTCGTTTTTTGGCCAGGTCGTTTGCAGTACCTGGTAATCATTTGGGACAGCAGAGCCATGGTTTTCGCTGGCCTTATGGCCCTGTAAGTCAATATTGATAAAAATTCTGATTAGAATTAATTGTTATATGTGAAAAATACTTGTGGTCGTGCGCATTAAAAAATTAATTGTGTACCTACTATTGGTAAAAATGGAGAGCTTCACCGAAAATGACTATACTCGCATCTCCTCTTACGAGTCATGTTCACTGTGATGTACTGTTGTCCTTTTCCTTAAGATCGCATTTAAATAATGTTACAATCTTGTGGTATAACATACAATTATGCCCTTTAGAGACCTAATCTGGAGTATTACCATTATGCCTGAAACAGTATTAACAAAATGCTCATATTGGTGGAGTCACGTATAAAGAATATGTTAACTGGTCTCTTAGTATATATTAATTGCAGTCAAATTTCATTTTCATGTATCCTGAAGCATTATGTAATAATAATTTTGGACTTCTTGCAGCTCTCTGCTTGCTTAGTTAAGTTTGTAATATGCTGCAGTAATTGTCTATTTAACTATAATGTTTGATAAGAGCCGATTGAAATTTTTTTGGTGCAGGTGGCAATAATTACTCCCTTCAATTTTCCTTTGGAGATTCCCCTGCTTCAGCTGATGGGTGCACTTTATATGGGGAACAAGCCAGTTGTTAAAGTTGATAGCAAGGTAAGCTCTTACAGTTCTTTAGAAGGTTGTGTTTGGTAATCAAGCCTAATTTTTTTAAGCCAAGAGACGACTTCTTTAGCATTAGTGATTTTATTATTGTCTGCTGATATGGGTAGTTCTGCTTTCTTTTTAAGATGTTCTTCTTCATTCATTGTGTACTCTTTTTAAGAAACAAGATTCTGGTCCTCTTTCAATAGGCTTTGATATTTCTTAGGGCCAACTATTCATGTTTTTGTTTTCTAATGTTCCATAGGTCTGCATTGTTATGGAACAAATGATTCGTCTACTCCATGATTGTGGGTTGCCCATGGAGGATGTTGATTTCATAAATTCTGATGGAAAGACCATGAACAAACTTCTTAAAGAGGTTGGATACTAGATAGTTAAGACAAGCTGCTGTATATAACATATATGATGTCTTCAATTCCTTTTTTCTCTTATACATTGGTGCTTCATTACTCTCAAAAGCCTTCAGCATTATCATCTGAGCCCCTGCTTGGTTTGGATAAATAGTAGATGTAGATTTTGATAAAAGTTAGTGAAATACGTGGTTGAAAAGTTGATGTTGTGGGTCTCATAAAATATGTGGTTGAAAATGAGTTTGGGAGAAAATGAGTTCGAAAAAATGGGACCAAACCAGGGCTGAAATATATTATGTTCTGATACAGTAACTTGATACAGTAACTCCCCACCACATCCACCCACGAACCTCCCTCCCAAATAAATGAATAAATAAATAAGAACCAATATGCTGAATAGTAATTAAAAAACTTAGAGAATGCTTAAATTGTCTAGATACCTCCAAGAGTTCTGCATTTACGGAGGGCTATTTATGCACGAATACTGAATCTTTTTCCCTTCTATCAAATTATGCGGCGTATGATTAGCTTGGGAGGTAGTGGAAGATAACTGTAGAATTATATTTTAAAAGTTCTACTTTCTGCCTTTGTAAATTAACCCTTAAACCACATTTTTGTGCTCCAATTATCTTTTAATTTTATTTATCTCAACTCTCTCAAAATCGATAGTTAGTGATTGTCAAGTGGGACCGCTCATCTTGGCCTTGTGCTATCCAAGGGTTAGGGTCATTGTCTTGAGGGAGGAGAGTTGGTGAATCGCTGGATCTTAGCCCTTGTCCTAGTGCTCTCCCTGTAGATTTGTTTAGTTTCTTCTTTTATTCTACTTCTAATTTCTAAATCTTCATTTCATCTTACTGATATTGCCATCTAAATGTGATAAATCAAGAGATGATGAATTTTTCAGTAAAGGTCATTGTAGTGCCTGTTGTCCATAGTATTTGTGGAATAAACTATATTTTCAAATGACAAATATGCCCTGTTTAAATTTATTATTAGGCAGAACCGCGCATGACTCTCTTCACTGGCAGTTCGAGAGTTGCAGATAAGTTGGCAGTTGACTTGAATGGCCGCATTAAACTGGAAGACGCTGGATTTGATTGGAAGATTCTTGGTCCTGATGTCCAGGAGGTTGATAACATGTAGCTTCAAGTTTGCCAAATATGCTTTCAGGTCTTTGTTGTACTGGACAATGGGAATTTGACGTCTAGGTGTCTCAAATAAGTTGGTTGTTATTTTCTTTGACAGGTGGATTATGTTGCATGGGTCTGTGATCAAGATGCATATGCATGCAGCGGTCAAAAATGCTCCGCCCAATCAATACTTTTCACGCATGAGGTAAGCTCCGAGAGTCCCACGCTCTGTGGTTATTATTGGTTCAATCACAGGTTAACTTTTCGTTGTGTGTATTTACTTGATTGAACTTTCATTTTTTTGTTCATGGGGATATGACTGCATAGCTTTTTGAAATGACACGATTTACGAATTTCTTTTTGAAACTGTTTGTGCTAGTTCAGAATTGGACTAAAACTCCGCTCTTACGCAAAATGACTGATCTTGCTGCAAGAAGGAAGCTTGATGATCTAACTGTTGGCCCTGTCCTTACTGTAAGTGACTTTTTAAGTTCTTTAATTTATGTTGCTATTGTTCATTTTATTGCATTCTATTTGCAATTTTTTATTAATAAGATTCCATCAGAATATGAAGATAATCAATTTGGTCATTGTGGTCGGGCCCTTTCTAGTTCTACAAACACTTTTACTATCAAATTTTTGTGATCAAATTACCTCCATATGTAATTATCTTTTTGCAGTTCACAACCGAAGCAATGCTAGGTCACATGAATCAATTGCTTCAGATATCAGGATCGAAGCTTCTTTTTGGTGGTGAAGCTTTAGAAAACCATAATATTCCTGCTATTTATGGAGCTATTAAACCTACTGCTGTTTTTGTTCCACTGGAAGAAATGCTGAAGGACAACAATTATGAGCTTGTAACCAAAGAAATATTTGGTCCATTCCAGGTAAGTGGTAGCCTGATCTAACAACTTTTAATCATTTTGTGTCCATTTTGTTCATTTATATCGAAAGGTCAAACCATTGACCATTATTAGTGCATGTTTGGTACGTAATGCTGGAGAACACTATTTGTACAATATAATGAACAGGACCATCTAATCCTCATGCTACCAAACATGCTATTATTCCGGGGCAGACCTACCTTTAAGTGAAACTTTAAATGAGAGATATAGAGATATAGGGAGAGGAGGGTAAGAGGGATGGACTTTAAAGGCTGCAATAAAAGTGAGTGGAACTGCTGCACCAAAGAGTAATGTGTAATGTTTTTCTCATTCTTGTTTCTCTCTCTAAATCTATCTGTATCTCTATTTCTATATCTGTCCTTTGTTTTAACTCTTGTGTCGCTTTATATGTTTATCTTTTATTAATGGGTCCATTTCATTCATCCTCTAAAATCTCTACGTGCCCATGGCTATTGGCTACTGCCTGCTCTTAGTGCAAGAGTGAAAGTGATTCACATAGTTTACCCTCCTACTTTATATTATCCTGGCAAGTTACCACTGAGCTAAATAATTTCGTCTAAAATTTTAAAGGGTTAAAAATTGAATAAAGTTTGTGTTATGCGTTCATAGTAATAATGTTATTCATCAACAATGGTGATGAATATGCAAGTAACAAGTATAATTTGTAAACTATGTTATTTTTAGTATTTTTACCATTATTAAATTCATGGTCGAACTTTACTTGAGATTGACTATTTCATTTCGTTTATTGTTTTATTGAGCTTTGAGTTTATAGTTTAGTTAAGAAAAAATTGAACGCATATTACATACAATAATTTAAGGGCCCGCATTTAAAATTCGTCTTAGGCTTCGAAAACTCAAAGTTTGACCTTGATTAAATTCCGTCCGCACTGAAAAATATTCCTGGCTCCACCCCTTCTACTAATGACTGCATGAAAGTTGGAATCTCGATGATTTCTAGTTGCCACAATACGTAAAAGATCCAGTAGGATAATATATATAAAAATTCTTGTTGATACATGTCCTTGCGACAGATTGTTACGGAATACAAGCATAATCAGCTTCCATTGGTATTGAATGCCCTCGAGAAAATGCATGCCCATTTAACAGCTGCCGTGGTTTCAAATGATCCTCTTTTTCTACAGGTAAGGAAAGGCTCTCAGTTTACTTAAAAATTTCAATTTCATTTTGCATGTATCCTCGCAGCTTTCTAAAAAACAAATGCTTTATGTGCCGATAATTGTAAAGATTAAGTTCCGATCTAATCCACCTCAAGTATTGGTTAAGGGAGATCAAGTTAGGTTATGGCCTTCTTGTTGATGTTTTGTTTTCGATTCTACAACTGAGTTGATGTTGTTGATGCCATTTTAGAGACTTGTTCCAATTAATTAGTGTGGGTATCAATCTAAATTTGCAGGAAGTTATTGGAAAAACAGTTAATGGAACTACTTATGCCGGGCTCAGAGCAAGAACGACAGGGGCTCCTCAAAATCACTGGTCAGTACAAAATGAATTTGTGTTCGTTTGGTAGTAGTCCTTATAAGGTGTGGATCCTACAAGAAATGTTTGGATAATGTGTGTACAAATTAAGCTTTCCCAAACATGCACGAAAATTAAAAATTCCTTTCTTTCTCTGTAATTTTGGTTGATAAACACGTTAAAACTACGATATACTGCAGGTTTGGTCCAGCTGGAGATCCAAGAGGAGCCGGAATTGGAACTCCTGAAGCAATAAAGCTCGTCTGGTCGTGCCACAGAGAAATCATATATGATCATGGTCCCTTGCCACAGAAATGGGAAATTCCAACAGCAACTTAATGGAATACAACAGAAAAATCAGGAACTCGAATTGGCAAATGACAATCAAATGTGAGAGCTGAATCTTTAGTTCCAGATAATAAATGAAACGAATCAGCTTCGTGGTTTCCTTTTTTTAATACCTTATCTGTACGAGCTTGTACATATGCTTCTGGATCTATTCTACTAGCTATAGCGTGCCTAATGCATTACCACAAGGGGGTCTTAAAATGCATGATTGGTACGTTGTAGTGAAGAGAATTGGACGGTATAATAAATAAAATTTTAACTTCTTTTTCATTATAGACTATAAAATCTTCTCTGCCAAATATGTCAAAAGTTCTTTTTCTTTATGTGATTAATTGTTATCTTCGATTAACATTGCCTTCTTTGGGGACAAGAAATATTGTTGTTATAGAGAAAATGAGTATTAAAACTTCAGTATCTTCTCTTTCTAGTTTTTTTTTTGTTTTTTTAATAAAGCATCATCACATGCCTGGTTCGTATTATATGCTCCACCAAAAGAGGACGGGGGCTAAGATTTCCTTATCTTGATATAAATGAAAAATAATGAAAACAATGAAGGGGCATATATCTAACCTCCAGTTAAAGAAATAAAAATTGAATGTATTATTTCATGTGAAAAAAAAAGTAAAAAATCTTAGTTACTAAACTTGGGAAGTTCGTATCTTCCAATTTGTGCTAGGGCATGAAGTCGTTGGGACAAGTCATGAGGATCATATTCCTGATTCGTTCTCATCCTTTTTATAGCTAGTGAATCAGCTACATAGTTTTCCTCGCGATAGATATCGAAAACAGTGTCATAATCGAAGGAAACTAGATGCTTGGTTTGTCTAAAGATAACCTAGATTGACCACGAACCTTTTCCAAGTGTGATGTAATGAATTGTAGGAAAAAAGTTGATGCGCAAGAAGGATTCTACAAAGGATTGCCCGCAGCTTAACCTCGAGTATAGGACAACCACCATATGATGAGAAGAATGCATGAATTCATCATTTAGAGTGATCTCGGATGATACCCCACCACTAGTGGAATCATCCTTGATGACATATCGATGTTTGATCTTGTAGGATCTCACCAATAGAGCGTGTCTAGAAACCTATATAGGAGGACAATGAGGGGGATTGGTGAAGCAATACCAAATAAGGGGGCAAATCCAAGTCCCTTGTCAGTGTACAAACCGAAATAAATGGCTTGTGTACGAAGAAAAGAAATGGTCCGATAAACCCTCCATAAAAGGAGATGGTCCAATAAATCTACATCTAATCATTCGAGACTTCATAGCTATACCCTGGTGTTTCGAATGGGGCTCCTCCAAACAAATCGGTCTAAGAATCGTGAACTTTGAAAGCGATGCTGAAAGTTCTCACCTTGTCGAATCGGGGCCTAAAAATGTAAGAGAGATGGTGCCAAACCTAGTTGAAACTCTGCTATATGTGAATAGGTGTAAAATAGACTCAATTGTCAAACAACACTGATCGACGATTCCGTGGACTCCTACTTCAACTGCCGTTCTTGATGCCGATAGAGATATGAGAAGAAGATTTTCTTCAAGTTAAGTAGATTCTCTTTTCGCTTCACCTCTTGAGACAAATGCTCTTCGAACCCATTCTCTTTTACCTAGCTAGGAGTATTGTTAACTTTTAACCATCTTAGAGGGTTCCACCTTGTGGATAGACATATAGTATATGTGAGAAGCTATGGATTCTAACGGGCCCATTTAGCCAGGGTGGGGTGCTCATGTGTTTTGACGTGAATATACATGGTTAAATTCATAAAAGTGGAAATTAAACCAGGCCAGCTTTTTAAAGATTGTAATTCAAAAATGAGATATAAATGTTTACGATGCGAACCCCGTAGCAACAATGACTACGAAATCCACAATTAGATTGATGCGGAACCCAAGAACACCAATTAAACCCAATTTTGGATTTGAACCCAATAAGGTGAACCAAAAAATCCAATGATAACGACAAAGCGTTGAACCCCTTGATTACACAAAGAAAAACCCATGATCCGATGTTTGAACGCCACAAGATTTAGATCTTGATAAATTCGATTGATTGTTCAATGGAAGAACAGGGAAAGCAATAGCCTCTCAATTAATAATGGGAAAAATTCATAAATAAGGTGTTTAGTTTATACCAATTCAAAAATCATGTTTATAGTTTGAAAATTCAAAAATCAGGTTTTTTTTTTTT